CCTGAAGAAGGGAGAAGCCCTCAATCAAGACCAGTTGGTAAGTTTGCTTTATGCAGGAGTGGGTGGCCTCAAAGCCTTCAAACATGTCAGAAGAGAGGTTGCTGAAGGAGGTGGTGGTGTTTTTTTACGGAAGTAATGCCTGCAGGCTTGCAATGGTATTTTTCACAAAACCGAATGGGCAAATTATTGGTAATTAATCTGAATGGTGAGCCCACAAGCTTTGACTCCTACTTTAACCTTCATGTTGTATACTAAAGTAATAAAGGTTCTTGTTTATGTTTGCTCTGTAGACTTTCAGCTTCAGTGCTCCTGCACCTTTATTTCTTGATGAGGTGTCTATGCAGCTTATCTATATGGCATTGCAGTGTTAGAACCCAAACCTCAAAACTTCTGAGGTAGCTAATTAGTCCTCATGACTTCCTCATTAACAGGTGTTACTTGAAATTGCCTGTTGCCTGCACAGTGCTGTTGGTTACAAGTAGCTGTTAAAGTATAACTGACAAACAGTCCCTTTTGGTGGAAAGGAAGATGCTGGTCTAACTTGAGTGGGATCAAAAGGCTGTCCTAATACAAGAATCTACCTATGTGTTATGGACTTAGGAGTACTCTCCTGTCCTTGTAGGGCTGCCGTTAGTTGCCTGGGAGTCAGCAGCGCTCGGATGCTGGTAGAACAATATGTCTATGCTGTACTTAATGTTGCTAGACTTTGGAATGCCAGGGTGCAAGATCACTGCTTGACAAATGTCATCCACTTTGCAGAGCTAGCTTAAATTTGCTGGATGTTCAAACAGTAGTTCTAGCTTTTTTCTGTCTTGGACTAGAATGGATTCTGGAACTGAAATCAGATTTTTATAACATGAAAGCTGTTGCTGCTTAAGCATATCCAAGTAGCAACATCACATAATCCAAAGGTTTTACTGCTCTAGTCATCTAAAAGAGTTACATTTTAAAAATATACTTCACACACATGCTAAAGAACAATTGTGTGGTAAAGAGCACTGACAATTCAGTGGTAGTGCTGATCCTGCTAGTGAACCAGTTGGAAAAATACTTCATTGACTGTTAGCTTTATCACTGTGCAGCAGTGTAAGAACACAAATAGTATTTCCTTACTCTGAATCATTTGTAAATGAGAATTAGACATAAATGGGATAAGAGAAGAAGTGATAACTTGCTACTTAAAAGTAGAGTAGGCCTGTTGGAGCAAATGATCATTTAGCACTTAACTACAAAATCTGTACTCTCTTGCCATCTCAAGTGCAGAAGTAAATTAATTAAATCTGATGGTTTGAAGTAAACTTAATCTGGAATCAGGTGAGGAAGAGCCTTTTGCATTTAGATAATAGGTGTTAAATACAACTGTTTTCTTTTGTCATGAGCATTGAGACTATTGAACAGCATTCTGTGTAAGTTTAGTCTTGAACATGACTTAAAGCTACTTCTAAACTTTGCTATTCATCTTTAGTTTACACACTGGACTGTGAAAATCTATTAGGTGAGAGTTAAATTAAGATGTGGGGAACTAAAAAGGCGAAGGATTCTGTAGATGTCTGTCTTGAAAATGCATCCAGCAGCACTAACTTTGGAAGATGGCAATTAACTTGGTTACTGGCTTTCAGTATTCCCACCTGAGCCTAACTTTCTAAGTATTAGAATTTTAATCCCAGTTTCTAGAATATCTCAGGCTTCTAAAATGGAGAATTAGATTCAATCTTGCTAGTGCACTGACCAGTGGTAGTCAAACTGTTCAGATGGCTATTGTAGAAACATGTATCAACTCAGTATTTAACTAATAATCTAGTCAAGACCCTCATTTCAGTGGTTAAGATAAAGAAATAATGCTCTTGTGCCTTTCAGATGCAAATCCTCAATGTATATATACACAAATACTGGGACCTGGTGATTGAAGCTAGAGCAGAGCTTAAAAGTTTGGATGCTTGCCTAAAGAAACCTAACTGCCTGTGATACAGTGGAGCTCTAATGTAACTTGATGCCATCTCTATTTTGCGTTGTTTCTCACACAGAAGTGGTGCGCATCTGGTGATGAACTTGTTTTGCAAGCAGTTTGTATTAATTACTTACACTGCATGGCTGCCAGAGCTACAGTGTGTGCTAGCCTTACTTCAGGAACCATTTGTTTCAAAAATGAGGAGCTTCCAGCAAGTGAAGTGCTTTCACTGGCAATATTGTGCTGTTCTGCAAGCCGAGCAGCCTCTCCTCAGTGCTGTTCCTCCCACATGCTGTTAATGAATGTTAATAACAGGTGTGGTGAGAGAAAGCTATTGCTTTCCTGCAGGCTGAGTTATAGCTTGTCATCAGAGCCGTGGTAACTGTTCTTGATGTTCTCAGGCAGGGAGTTTTTCTCTGGGATTTGCATGGTTAAAAGCACAATTACCACAACCTGTCTAGTTGTTGGTGTTAAATTGTGAGTCTTCCTCAAGTGTGGAAAGTGTGGGCATTAGGGTCTTAAAAGTCATTCTCCCAAGTGCTAAGTGAGCTTCCTAACTAGTTCCAAAAAGTTACTTGATAAATTGTGTCCTTGTAAAGGACAAGCCAAACTACCAGATGAGCGCTTTACAGTAGCTCATGGGCTTTGTTGCGTGGAGTAGCATTTAGGCCCAGTAATGTCTAGTATACCACAAATAAGTGAATACAAGTAACTGAAGACTTGAAGTGATTGAACAAATGAATGCGTAACTTGTTTTCCAGTGGCTTAGGAACATATATGGAATTTGCACATGTCCCAGATCTTACTGGCACAGTAGATTAAGCTTTTTGTCATTGCATTGATGAAACACTTATCACCACTAACACTACTTTGAAAGAGCTTTATATTAGACTGAGTCCATTCTGGAAAAAGTTCTGGTATGTTGTCATGAGTATTAACTGAACTGAGCATAAAGTACATGTGAACAACTGAAGTTGAACTTGTTGCTTCCCAGGTGTGCCTTATGGTATGAGGATATGGGCAGTGTGTCTTAACTACAGTGTTAGCTATCTTCAGAGCTGTCAAGGGAACTTAGAAAAATGAACTGACTCCTCAGTGGGGGAAAACTCAAAAATAGGGTCTATCAAAATGCAATTAATAATCTGCTTTAAGTAGTCTTTTTGAAGACTGGCTAGTAAAATTATCAGTTAAAGCCATTAACAAAGACAGAAGCACTGCTTTATTTGTGGAAACTAAATTTGAAAGACTTTTTTCTGAAAGTATACCTCACCTTCTATATTGTTTTCTTTTTAAAATTTGTACAAATTATCTGTAAAGGCATTCAGTGAAGTATCAGGGTAAAAGATCTGTGCTGAACTTCTGAGTCTCCTGCATTCCTTCTAGGCTTTCATATCAATATCTGATTTTAAGTAGTTGTTTATCTCTGATTGCTGAAATCTGTGGGAACAAAAGGAAAAACGAAATAACTGGTATCCAGGCTTTCCTATTTCAACATTAGTATATCAAGTATTGCACAAGATGCTCCTGGAAAGTCTAATACAGACAAACTTGTAGGTGGTAGTGTGAGCTGGGTTTGTACTGCATCTCAGACAGTCATGGGTGAATGATATTCACAACTAAATTTGAAGTACCAGTTACAGACATAGTGTCTTTTAAAAAGTTACAATTTCAGAAATTACATGTTAAATTACTAGTTCTCAATGAGAATTTAAGTACAAGGGCTTTGAGATGCACCTCATAGTTTTAAGCATGAAAAATACATTTTTATCTATTCCTTTGTAGGAAGCAGTAGAGAAATATGATGAAGTAGTACACAACTTGGAATTTGCCAAGGAGCTTCAGAAGACTTTTTCAGGACTTAGCCAAGATGTAAGTATAAAGCGTTCTTCCCTATATTGTCAGGAGGTAACTGCAAAGATTGCACTACTTTTCTAATGGCTGCGCTTATATGCCAATATGCAGAGTACTAGGAGTTTTCTGTCTTGGAACTTAGGGAAACAGTGTGTCTGAAGTAGTGAGTAGAGCAGAGTAAGTGTTGACAATTTTGTGTACCGCTGACCTCCACGATATAGTTATTCACAGTGTACCCCTGCAAGAACTTGTGCTTAAGTAAAGTAAGTCATTTGAAATCAGCTGTGTTTGAGATGACTCCAGTTTATGTAGGTTTGAAACTGTTAACCATCTTGCTGGTAGCTTGTGCCTGAAGGGGGCTCATCTCCTGCATAGGTAGAGCCAGACTCTGCTGGAAAGGACATGCAGGTCCTTGTGAGTAGCAGGCAAAATAAGTGCACCTCTGGAGCAGTGAAGGTTAGACTTAGACTGAAGACTAGTAGATTAAGGAGAACTGATTATTTGATACTTGTTAACCAGTTGAGTCTAGTTCTGGTCACTCGGTACACGAAGGCTATAGATAAACTTCAGTGAGGCCAGCGTGGGCCTCCAAATGGCTGCAGGCTGGAGCATGAGCCTTATGAGGAGGGTCTGGAAGAACTGGGCTTGTTGGGCCTGGTGAAGTGAAGGCTTGGCGGGAGATGTAATCTTAGCCTTCAAATACTGAAGAGATTACTGAAAGGATGGAGCCAGGCTTTTTGCTGAGAGGTGTGGTAGGAGAAGGAATGATGATAAATTGAAATAATAGATTCCAACTAGATAGGAGGAAAAGACTCACTCTGAGGATAATTAAGTACTAGAGGAGGCTGCCTAGAGAAGTAATAAAATCTGTCCTTGGATCTTTTCAAGACCTGACTGCACAAAGCTCTAAGTAATTTGGTCTTGATTCAGTGTAGCCTTTGTTCTGGAGACTGGGCTAGATGACATCCCAAGATCCATTCCAAACTGCATGTTTTCATGCTTCCAGTGAGGGAGAGTTCTAGGGTTAAATCACTTTTGGTTTAGGTGAGAAGTAAATCTCTCAGTAAAATTTTACTGAAGCTTGTGGAGTTTGCCACTACTTCTGCTGTAGTTGTCTCCAGTTATGGCAAGTCAAAGATTTGGTGCTTTATTTAGGTCTGTCTTCAAGGTTTAAACACTACATACATTATTTTTATGTAAACAAGTGTTTTATCTTTGAAGAAACTGGTCTCTTGGCTCAAGCAAACGCTATCCTTATGAAAAGATCTGATCCAAGGTAATGCTGAGGATGCTGAACATGATTAGTCACTGCTCTGGCATTATTCCTCTGCTGCTTACAGAATGCTGAGGGACTGGTAAAATGGCTTGTCTCAGTGTTGGCTGAGACCCAAACAGTTTTGGTAGAGAGGATTTTCTTGTGTATGTAGTAATTCCCAGGTAGTGCAGTAAATCTCTCAAAGCACTACGTGAGCAGAGATTTAAGAGCCTTTTCAGCAGTGTGGCTGCTTTGAGTTCCCTCAGTCATTGTACGCTGAACACAGAAACTACTGTGCTGAATGTCAAAACTTGGGTTGCTTCGTATTACTTTCCTCTGTGGAGCTGTCCATAAAATATAAGAAATGGATTGTGACCCAGTGTATCTTTCTGTAGGTGTTTTTAGTAAACCAGCATTCAATTCTACCAGTTCATGTTTGTTCTTGAACTTACGCTATATTTAAAGGCTAACCTACTTTGTTTTTTTTCTTGGCTCTACTTCTATCAGTGTGGATTCTACAGCCAATACCCATTACTGGAACACTAGGGGCCATTCTGGCAACAACATGCTTATATCCTTTACAGTGCATTCTAGAAAACTAAATTTTCGTACATCTTGCAAAGAAACTTAAGATACCCCATATTTAGGCATTTTAAATTCTGCAGTTACTTGGATAGTTTCTGCTGTGTAATTCTCTTAGTACATGATGAGAAATTTCCCCTCAAATGCATGAGGGCTGTGTATATTCTGTGACTTGTGTTGGTGCTTATTTAATGAGTGCTTCAGTCTTTGGCCAACAGGAATAAGAGTAACTATAGAATTTTGCTGTATCATTTAAATTTCAATATTCAACAATGAATAGGCAATTGTCTCACTAGGAGACATTTGAGATACCTTCTGTATCACTAACTTCATGTGATTAGTGTTAAAGGTCAACTAGGCTTGGATTTGTGAATTGGTATCAATTCCTTATATTCAGTTGTGAATGTTGTTATGATAAAGTAACTAGTAGGCATAACTGGGATCTAAATATCAGAAGGGCATAACACAAGTGAACCTACCAGTATCCAGTTTGACTAAAAGCTAGATGTGTAGAGAATTAGTACATAAACAGGGAGCTCTTCCAGAGGAGGAGCTTGAAAGATCTTGGGTATCTGAAGAGAGAATTAGAAGCTTCTGTTATCTAACAAAAATTAAGTTATTTTGATCAGTGTGGATGATCAATACTAGAACTCAATGTGTTTTGTCCTAGAATCCTGTTACTAGACCATTGTGTTTAATTGTTGAATTCATGTATTGAAATAGCTGCTGAAAGCACAGAGGAAGGCGCAGCGAAGAGAGAGTCTATTGAAGCTTGAAGCAGAAAAGAAAAAGTTGCGTACAATACTCCAAGTCCAGTATGTGCTGCAGAACTTCACTCAAGAGCATGTTCAGAAAGATTTCAAAGGTGGTGTGAATGGTGCAATATACTTGCCTTCTAAAGAACTAGACTACCTCATAAGATTTGCAAAACTGACATGTCCAGAAAGAAATGAGAACTTGAGGTAAGTTCAAGATTTTTCCCTAGCTGTTATGCGTCATTCCCTACAGTAAATGTCCTCTGTTTGACACTGCCATGTCTTGAAATATTAAGTTTTGGGACACTAATTAGAATTCTATGCAGTACTCTTGCTATAGTCTGAGACTAGGAATCTGGCAGATTTACCTCACTCTGAGCATCAAAGGAAAGCTACAGTAATTACAGCCTCAGTTGTGCAAGTTACAAGCCCTGTGATCTTGTGTCTCCCTGTGGAGTTGAGGGGAGATAGTCCAATACCATCACAATCAGGGAGGCTGGTGGCATGTTGCTTCCCTGAGGTGTTCCTGTTCATGAAATGAAAATAGTGTGGTAAGCACAGGAGAACTGTTCTATATTCCAGTCACATGATGATCCACATGTGCTTCTTTATTCCGAAGGAACGTAAGGTGGTAGTCCTGAGACTCTCTTGCTATTAGCTTCAAAGTAGCTTTTAAAAATTTGACTAGAGGTTTTGATACCTCTGCACTAAATGTCACACATGTTAAGATAACAGGTTGTCAAGAGATGTCATGTATGTCAGTACTAACTTGGCATCATGCTTGCGCTATGATGACTTATGTTTAGCATGACAGCCTGTCTGTTTCAAGGTAGTGTAGTAAGAATTTTATTTAAATATGGAAAAAGTAGTGATTAGGTGGTAAGTTGAAACACTGTGTGGATGATAGTAATCATTTCCACATTCAAACATGACTGAAGTTCCTAAAACTCCTAATCACTTGTCATATGCTAAACTTGCCTAATCTTTGCTCTTATGTTAACTTTTAAAGAACAGCTGCTTATAGAAAGCCATGCAATAGGAGTCTCTCATCCAGTGAAATAACTTTATTTCTATCTTAATTCTAATTGTATTACACTTACATACAAGAAGCATAATCCTTTGGGATACTAAATTTCATAGTGGTGGACTTAAAAATCCATTATCTGGAGGGGGTGGGGTAGATCATTGGCCTGTATCGAAGTTTTTCCATAACTAGCAGAGTGACAGTAGCTGTTCATGGTTACCCATGTACATGCAATAAACAAGGTGATCAGCTGATTGAACAGCAATCATTTCCCTATCTGAGAATCCTGACTTGGAATGGAGTCTGGTCATATGGTCTCGTGGGATGGTGCTAGACTATCTAATCTGTCTTAATTACTGACAATAGAATTTGTGTTTGCTGGATTAAGTCATGCACAGATGAATCCCTTTCAGTAGTGGATAACGGGTTTAGGATTGACTCTATGTATTCAGCCTTGATTTGGAAGGCTAAACATTAATCAGTGTCTTAAATGAGAGGTATTGGGATACTATGAGACTTGATCTTGATGATGATTCTACCTGGTAAAACATTTGTTTTAGTGTTGAAGACCAGATGGAACAATCATCTCTCTACTTCTGGGACCTGCTAGAAGGAAGTGAGAAACCTGTGGTTGGAACAACATGTGAGTGTCTAATCTGAAGAAGTAACTTAAAGATCTGAAACTTGTTTGCTATTTAAACATTTTAAGGCAAATGAATATACATGAAAGTGCTTACATTTAGTAGTGTTCCAAGTGCTCTGTGTAACTCAGTTATCCAAGGATGAACTGCTGTTTGTTCAAAGTCCTGGTTTTGAGTACAGATAAGTTACAATAGAGTCAGTCTTTCCCTGGAAAAAAAGCATGTTGTGCTACCAATGTACTAGCACCTTTTTGAGAAATAATGATGGCAGTAATTCAAAAGCTTATGGATTAATACCTTACAGAACTAGCAGTGGGAAGCTTTTTGGATAGCTATGTGCAAATCTGTTAAGATGGGAATGCTGTTCCTAGCCATGAAATGCTTAGTTGAGTATACTGGTGTGTATTACAAAGCTTTAGTGGCCCCAGGCTGAAGGTCCCACAGCATTGGAGGCTCACTCTTCTAGTAGGAATTCCAGGCTCATACCCAGTGTTGAACTACTGTGCAGGATACCACACTGAGGAAGGATAGTCAGTAATGGAACTTGCTGTGGTCTCTTAGTCATGCACAGTATGGTCTTACTTGGACCTGTTGCAAGTGTCCTCATTTTTCAAGCACACAAAAGTCTGTATAACTCTACATGCTTTCTTCCATCTGTGGCTTAGTTTCAAAAACCCTGGTTGTAACCAAACATGTACTTTCTGTGTTCCTATTTGGAATTTCCTTGTGAGGAAACTGCCCTTACTTGAGTTGTGTCTTTCCTATTGCAAACAGACCTTGCTTGTTCTGTTTACTGCAGTCTTGTAATGTCTGTGTGGCAGTAATCTCTCATTTGTCATTGACAATGTTGTTGAAACTGTTAAAGGAGAGCACTAATGTACTCCAACATCCACATACAGATAGTTGAACTGACAACTAAGTGTTAACTCTTTTCATACTGCTCTGGACAAAGCGCAAGCTGGCCTTGTGTTGCTACAGACTGGTAACTTTAGTCTTGTATCTGTTGGCATGAATTGATAGTTGCCTAGTGATCTTAAACTCCAAACTTTTGTAGCTTTTTGGTTACCATCTAAACTTTTGTGACTGTTTTGTCACTATCTCTATCCTTTAGTGTCAGTCTTGCATCCTTTTGCGTGCAACCTAAACTTCAGATAAAGCCGTTATGACATCTCGCTAGCATTCATTGTCTTACAAGACAATTTTTTTAATATCCTTATTAAATTCTAGTTACTGTTGTTCATGCAGTTGTCACTGGTAGGAGTGATATTCCACTGAATGTTCTTCCTGTTGTCAAGGCTGCCCTGTCTAGCTCGTCTGAAACAATTTTTAGTATTGCTGCAACTTCTGAGGTCTTACTCTCTACTCTAAGCTGCTGTCTTTTTTGCATAAAAAATGAAACTGGACAGTGCTTAGAGTCAACAGTTAAGTTTTTCAACTGTGTCAACTTTGACTTTTTTCCAAAGCTTCAGAGGGTTAAGTTCAATCTGGAACAGTCTCTTGCTTTCTTGCCCCCCTGCTTGTTTTTGCAGTTAACTTTTCCTTCTGAGATTTACCATCCTGCCACTGGGAAGAGGGTCTTGTAGGGCAGTTCCATAGTGACTTTGTTTAGCTTTACCTGTGCTACAGTCTGCACAACATGCTTGTAGTATCAATGCTGACTAGTTTATAGGTGGTAAACAAATCTCTAAGCATGTGAGAGACCAGTGGCTCAGTGTTCACCTTGTGTTTATTTAAACACAAGCTGCAGTCTTTCCTCTGGATTGCAAAGATGTTTTCAGCTGTAATATATAAAGCAGTTTAACAAATCCTTTCCTTTACTAAAATGTTTTATTGTTATAACTCAGTAAGATATGTTAACTTGGTATATAAAGGGAAGAAGTAAGGAGTCTTGATCTGTCATCTGAATTCTCCTTAATTTCAAGTTTTCATGTCTTCATTTCATGGATTTTTACTCTTCAGATAAACACATGAAGGATCTGTTATCCAAACTTCTAGACTCTGGCTACTTTGAAAGTATTCCAACTCCTCGCACGACTCTACCAATAAAAGAATTGGAAGAAGAAGTAAATAGAAAATCTGAGAGAACCAGACAGATGTCAAAAGGAGACTCTGTCAAAGAACCAGGTGGAATATTAGAGTTCAATTTCTGCATCATAATATTGTGATAAGCTTGAATTAAGCATTGACTTTGCATAGCTTGATGCTAAATCTGATCCTGTGCTGTAGCTTACTTGCAATGTAGTAACTAAAATGGAACCTAAAAGGCTTGTAGCTTTTTTGGGTAATATTGTAGGGGAAAAAAAAAAATTTCCTAGTAATAAGATGCTTTTGCCTTCTGAGCAAGCCTCCATCTTGAAGGTGAGAAATGTCTGGTATAAGGAATGCTACATATTACAGTAACCAAATATGCATGGTACAAAGTGTTTCTTGCTTAACTCTAAACTTCTGCAAGTGTAAAACCAAATTAAAAAATAAAAGCTTGTCTAAATTGCATGTTGAATGACAAGCTGAGCTTTCAAAATATCTGGTTTAGCAATTGGTACTACTATTTAAATAGGATTAAAGATTTTCTACTGTTTGGTCTGCCTTTCTGTATTTGATCAGTTCAAACAAATTAACATCCTTTCTCTAGAATCCATTATGGAGCTTATGAAGTCTGAAATACAGCCACAGGAGGTAAGATACTATACTACTAATTGTTTTCCTTTAGTAATGTGATTTGTCAAACTTCTGCAGCCCTTTTTTAAATGTAGAAATGGAGTCTGAATGGTAACTAAGATGTTGCTTTATGGAGGAAGCATTAAAGATTGCTTGTGTTTCTATTTCTATTCCCAAATTTATGGCTTCTTGGGGATATTTGGGGATAAATAGGGCGGGATTACATGAAGCAGTATGGTACTTTAATGCTCTAGCACTTTCCTGAACAAAACAAAGCATCAGCCATCAGAGTGGAAACATAATGATTTCTTTGTGTACTACAGGGTAGAGAAAATACACATCTACTAAAGCTGTCTCTACAGGCTAAGCGTATTGCAGTAGACTTGATATTGGTGGAATTGAGTGATGTAGGTTTTCTGTTTTGTCAGAAAAGTAGGGATCCTGAGACAGACTTGTGTGCACAAGGATGTGTAGACCTGTTTCAACAGCCCTTCAGACTCCTGAGTTAGGTACTCAAGCTTCAACTGGCAATAGCATAAAAGCTTGGTTCAAAAAGTGGGGAGGGATGTCCTTTTGTAAGAAGAAATACTGGTTCTTAAAATGCTGAACTTCCCGGGTATCCCACTAGAGGGTGTACTCTAGAACAAGTTTTTTTAACCTACTGGTAGCACCTGATCCTGAAGATTTTTCTAGTGACTTGTCAGAAAAAAATCTCAGCTAGTGAGCCTCACGCATCCTTCACTTCATATATTTACTTCCTGTTTATGACTAGTAACTCAGGAAAGCTTCAGGACCTGCTCATTGAATTCACATTTACTGACAGTAAACATGGTCTGGAGTAGTAGAAGTCCAGTGATACTAAATCTGAGAATCTGGTGACTTTTTAGTATTTAAACTCTATTAAGAATGGCAGTTATGCTTGTTTACTGGAGTTCCAAAGGGTCAAAGACTTTTTGGAGGGATAGTGCTGCTACACTTGGCAGAATGTCTACTAATGTAGTACCACAGCATTTTAGATGCTTAGGAGAAGAGCTACCTTTATAAAAATAGCAACTAAACTTGATGTTGTCACTACCTAGGAACATCAGTTAGCACTGAGAATAAGGGTAATAGATTCACTCAGCTCAAGTATGTTTCACTTGTGCTCTTCAGGACTGTTTCATGCCTCTCTGTGGTATGCCAAGCAAAGCTAGTGTGCAGTGTTGTAGGATAAAGCCATGGCTGTCTACATAGTTTCTATGGCTAGTGCTTAAACTGCCTAGTCTCTGCTTTTAGTCAGAAACTTTCAGTAGCTGGGTGACCTAACTTAACTGACCTGAACTGTCGTAGCAAAATGTTTTCTTGGGAGCCATTAAGTTTCTTTGGTCTATATAGTTTCTCAACAGGCGTTATTTGCCTGAAGCAGAATACTCTGTCAAGAAGAAGCCAGAAGAGCCCAAATCTTGGGAAGCTGAGAGTGCTAGAAAGCAAGAACCTCCAAAGACCTGGGAAATGCTTGTTGATATTGAAGAGCAGGAACAGAAGCAGAAACAAGAGACTTTAAAGCCTTGGGAAGCTCGTGTTAGGCAGCAGGAACCAAAGAGACCAGATTCTCCAAAGCCCTGGGAAGCTCGTGCTAAAGAGGAGGAACAGAAGCGTGAGTCTACAAAGCCCTGGGAGACTCGTGTTGAAGAAGAACAGAAGAAGCAAGAAACTCCAAAGGCCTGGGTAGCACGTGTCCGAGAGGAGCAGGAGTCCCCCAAACCTTGGGTAGCAAAGGTTAGGGAAGAGCAGGACCTGAAGAAACAGGAATCGCCTAAGCCATGGGGAGCAAGAGTTAGGGAAGAGCAGGAACAGAAAAAGCAGGAGTCCCCAAAACCTTGGGTAACCAAAGTTAAGGAAGAACCAGAACAAAAACAGGAATCTCCAAAACCTTGGGTAACCCAAACTAGGGAGCAACCAGAACAAAAGAAGCCAGAGCCTGTGAAATCATGGGAAATGCCTGTTAGGGAAGAGCCAGAGCAAAAGAAGCAGGAGCCTGTGAAGGCTTGGGCTGCACATGTTAGGGAGGAGCCAGAACAAAAGAAGCAGGAGACTCGAGAGGCTTGGGAAAAAGCTGACAGGCAGCAGCAAGTGTCATCACAGCAGTTACAGAACCCTCCGAAGTCCTGGGGAGCTGCAAGTGTGGGGCCAAAGGAGCAGATGGGGCCAAAGAAGTTTGATATGGAACCCAAAGAAGTGAGTTGGCATATGTAGTATTACCTGTCATAAGCTTTTGACACTAGTGTATTGGACTAAAGCTACCTGTTAGCAGTGGCTGTATAAGGTGTGTTTTGTAGGCCTGTATTTAGACTCCTAGTTCATTCTTTCTTGGGGGAAATAATTCTGGCTGTTAAACTTCGTATTTGAAGAGCAAGATGGCCTGCTTTGCTTTTGACATCAACACAGTATTGCTGTGGTTGAGCCTTTAACTGCTTTATGCATAAGACAGAAGAATTAACTTAGCTCATCCCCAGCTATTGGCTCTGTCCGCTGTTATCAGTACAAAGCAGGTATGACTCATCCAGGGATCAAATACTTTGTCTGTGGCTGCATGCAAATAGCACTTCAGTAATTTTTCTAGGCTTTTGATTAAAATAGCTGCTGATTCAAGAGAGATCTAACATCTAGATCAAGCAATACCAACTGTACAGGGGCTTAAATATGTATTTCCAGATGAATGCATAAGCCATACTGCAGTCCTGGAGAGTCTAACAATAGCATAGTTTCTTTTAGAAAAGTAAAATGAAACTTATTGCGGGGCTTACAGCTGAGTGGGCTGCCAGCCTCTGGTTATGTTACCTTTCTCACCTGTGCTTGGGTACAAACAATTCTGATACTGTGAAAACAAGATGGTAGACAAAGCAGAGTTCAGTTATGTCATTAAGAGCAGTGTTTAATTTAGAGTTAGACTTCAGGAAGAAAATATAGGGAACTGAGCAATTCTCTTGTACACAATGTCAGCACTACTACCTTGTTTCTGTAAGAAAGAAGAAAACAATTCATTCCATATTACTTGTAGCAAATTATTAAGCTTAAATCTCGTCAATAAACTTAACATAACTGAAAAATGGATGTTCTTGTGCCTAGAGGCGGGAGCGCAAACAGAAGGTTGAACAGGAAATTAAAAGAGTATGTAACATGCAGCACTGGGTAAACAAAATGGGATTAAGGTGTTTCAGCTTGATTCATCTTTACACTCAAGCTGAGTAGAATCTTGTGTCCACTGGTGGTGGTGGTACAGGTACAAAACCTAGTTGCCTCACTAAGTAACTCTGAGCACACAAGTAGGTGTCGTGCACTGAACTATGCATAGTATTGCTGTAACAAACTGTCTCAAGTACTGGAATAGTCTCAAGCATTTTAAGATGCCTTGAAATTTCTGGTGTCAGATTACCTTAAAGCTTAAATGCAAGATGTGATGGGGTTCTTATTTTTATATAGGATGGAAAGATGGATGGCTTAATTGGTAGACAAAATTCTGATGCAGTAAGGAAAAAGGAGGGTCTGCAGTCTGTTGGAGAAACTTCCAGACTGCCTGGGAATCTTCACAGTAATGTGCAGGTGTGCATATCAGCAAAATTAAACTAAATTAAGTGTTGGAATGTGAGGTTGCTTAAGCTAGATTGGTGGATTAAGTAAGCAAAGAATACTTTTTAAAGTATTGAAATTTTGATTTACATAGTAGACCATAGTGAAACACCAGCTGGCTTTATTTTTGTGTAGTAGCTATTGACAAACTCTAATATCAAAAGTATATTGAATGAGTAAAATATAGTATACTGTCAACCTATCTAGTTTCCATGACCAAATTTTTAAAAGTGAAGATGCCTTTGATTTCTGAGGTGCATATAATGAACAGTTAAAATCATATTAAACTTTTTGGATCATGAAATTTCGCTTGCCTTGCTTATATGAGGAGAGAAGAGGTAATGCAGTGCTATAGCTGGATCCATTTCAATCCCAGGGAGAACCTATAAATGACCTTGTGCAGGGATCTAGGGGCATGGTAGAGAAATGTCCTATGTCACCACTGCTGCTTTATGGAGCTGAAATTAACCCTTCTTTACTCCCTGAAATAACTGTTAGAGCTCTGAGATCTTTTAATAAATTCCTACGTTTTGAGATCTTAAAAGATGCTTGTTTAATTTAATGTGCCATAAACTGCAGTATGTAAGAAGTTTGGCCTAAGAGAGCAGAGTGAGCTGAAGTGCAGGTCTGTTAAACTGTTTAAACATTTGTGCAACCTGTGGAAGAGCACACTTGGTTGTAGCTGAATTTGTGGCCTCCTACGTGAAAGCAAAACAGTTTGGCTTGTGCTGTCATCCAGTGCTGTTTAATTCATACCTGCTGTGAATGCTGCTCTGAATAGAAAGCAAATTTTAATTGTATAAGTACATGGCACAGCTGGTCACCATGGCAATCACTGTTGTGATTACAGCTTAAGTATCACTGTTGTAGCTTATTTAGTACTCCACAGCTAACAAATGTAAAGAGGAGCGGAGGTCCTGGATCATAGAATGGAGTCTTACTAGTATGTAAGTTAGCTGAAATGTATGTTAGAGTAGTGTTATGTATAAATAGACCTTCAGTCTCTTGGAAAAAAAAACAAACAAAGAACATCCCTAAAGTTTTAATAAGAGTACCTAGTATATTGGCACTTTGACTAGTAAAATTCCAAAGTGGTCAGTGTGCCTTTACATTGGTTTATTTGCAATGATTTAACAGGTCCTAAAACAAATTCTAGGTATTTGAACTCCATTTTTAGTCAGTTCTCTGAATATATGTCAACAGTTTTTGTTAAATGTATCCATAGTGTTGAAGCTGGGTTTCAGAAACATATTATGAGAAATTAGATCCTAAACTTATCAGTACTGTGGAAAACTCTAACCTAGACGTTGCTCTGAACCACTAGTGTTAAGTGATCTCAGCATGGATAAGTTTGAGCTGGACTAACCACTTACTAAACTAAAAGTCTGCTACCAGCTTGTAATGACTTCCAGAAACAGCATCTAACTGCAGGCTTGAAAGAAAACCTGGTTTAAACCAATCTTGGATGTCAAGTACCTGCCTTCTTTTTTCAAAGGATCTCTTTTATAAAGGCACAAAACCTGAGATACTTTAACTTTCTGATGCTCTTTTGTGTATGCTTGGTATTGCACTTAAATAGTCTAGTTTCAGACATCTAAGTACCATCAAAACAGCAAAGCAGTATGTGGTAACTTTGCTATAGCTGCTTCTGGCTGATGTGTTCTAATACATGCAGGAACTAGAAAAGCTAGAAAAATTTTCTCTTCTACAGAATGGAGAGTCTCAATGTTTCAGTCCTGGCTTAAAGCCCTATGATGTATATCTATACAAAATATAAAAAAAACTCTGTATGCTCTTCCACTTGAAGTAAAGAATGCTACCAACATAATGCACAGTATGTGCTGAGGAAGGAGATAAAGACTCTAACAAACTGTAAAAAGCATACTCAAGATTATACCATCTTTGACAACAACAAGTGAAATGCTGCAGTCTCTTCTGCTTCCATGCTCTTGAGGCTGTTTGTACTTGTTTGTTTAATGTACAAGTCTAACATTATGTAGCTAGTGGACAGTCTTAATAGATTGTGTCAGGCACTGGCAGGCTTCACCTTGTTAGGTGCCTTAAAGGTGGAAAGCTTCTGTTTGCAAACATACAGAACCGGTTTGGTAGGGTACTTGTGTCTTAGTAAACTATAGTGAGGAGGAAGAGTGTAGTAGAAGCATTAATCAGTTTGACCCATAATGGATTTACCATGACAGCAAGTGTATTTAAGATTAAGTCTGCTCGTAAGTGAGGGCTAATAGTGATGGACAGGAAGATTCAGATTCCTAGTAACATAATCTATAACTTGCTGAGATTTAACTTTATTCAACTGTATCTTTTGTCCTGTACTTAGATCCTTAATAGCTTTAGTTCCTTGTCATTGTTGGAAACAATATAGCAATCTAAATTTGTGTAGTCAGTAGTTGAAGATAGGATCATGGAGTAGTTTGGATTGGAAGACACCTTAAAGATCATCTAGTTCCAACTCCCCTGCCATAGGCAGGGACACCTGCCACTAGACCAGGCTGCTCAAAGTCCCCTCCAATTTGGCCTTGAAGTGGCAGTGCTTGTGCATCAGAAATTCTAATTAAGATAGAGTAGTACAAAGAGGCACTCTTACAGCTCTAGAATAAAGTAAAACTTCTCACAGCTCAACAAGTAGCTATCAGGTGGATCACATAGAAATGGAGTCCTCTAGAGTTAATTATGTGCTGCATGTTACATGAATTATGCTTTGTGGAGCTCACGGAACCCTACAAGCTTCTTCCCTGTACATGCTACTGGAATTTCTGCAAATGCTAGTGATTAGTTTCAGATAACTGTTGAAGAGGAAATAAGAGTGGTTTTGGGCTTGTCCTAAAACCAGACAAAGAGCATCTCATCAATTTGTTTTTAATTTAGTGTGACAATGAAATGTCATAATGCTTATATCCTTCTGCCATATGGTTGTCTAATGACTTCATACAAATACTCAACTATGCTGCTATTCAGTATATTGAAGTAGTGATGTCATTATTAGAAAGACAAATGTTTGTACTGTACGAAGGCGAAGGTTTTCACATGTTCCTGTGTGTCTCCACATTTGGGCAGTTGAAATAATGCAGCTAATTAATATCTTCAGATTTGCATCCCTCTACTTGCATAGACAAACGTAAGAGCAGCAAAGCTTTAGAGAATCATTAAAAATTATGGTTTCAAAATACTTAAAACAAGCCTACCTCTTCCCCAAGCTGCTTTCAAAAGATGTTAGACTATCAAGGCTATTGTCACTACAAGAGTGACAAGACTATTGTCACTCGGTAAACAACAGGGCTTCTGCTATTTAAGGAGTTTACCATCATGATTTTTCTGATACCTTAGACTTGCCTATTCTCTAGTAAAACATTTCCCTCTTTTTAAAAGGGAAGTGAGAACCAGTTGGAATGAACTGTTAAAGGAAAAAAAAATCAAGGAAGAGTAAGACCATGCAGAAGTCCTTATTTAACTACAAAGTCAGGCTCTCATGTGAGAGTACAGGTGTATTTTTCATGCCAAACTTCAAAAAGTTTAATTTGGTACTTTCTGCAGGAGCTGATGCATTGAGACTATCTGGCTCGTTAGTGGAAACACTTTGGTCTAATCCTGGGTAACCTGTTTGCAATGTATCTCTTAGGTGCAGTTTCTTCAGAATGTCTGGAAATGCCATTCTAATAAAAGATCTGTACTTATTGTCATGGGCTCTACTTGGGGGAAAGTATGTTTTAAACCTTAAGTGATGCAGCTTTGATTTTTAAGCTTGTTCTGGCCTTCAACTTAAACATGTGGGTTTCCTTAGGTGGAAGTGCCTGATTTTGCACTAAATGCAGGGAACTTTCTGTTGTAAGTGTAAGAAACTGAAAGAAGTGAATTCATTCTGGGGCTTAACTAGCTGTGGCAACAGTAAACCGATTTTAACAAAGTGAAAGCTTGATTCAGGAAATATCAATAACAGCACAGAATTCCTTGGCCCATGGTGTCTGACACTATAGGTTGCTCTGGAAGTAAATTGGATAAGGCAGTTTTTGTCTTGCTTCCAGTATTAGATTTAACATCTTTTCTCCTAATTAGGTGCCTAAACCTGTACATCAGCCAGCTGCAGAATTTTGCTCTACTTCAACTCTTCCAAAAGATCCAGTATTGAGAAGGGAAAAACTTCAGGATCTGATGACTCAGATACAAGGGACTTACAACTTCATGCAAGTATGTTTTTCTCTGTTACAGCACAAAGCTCAAGTTCCTACTCAGTTAGGGAAAACAGTGCTGAGAATGCATGTTTGCACTGAATGAATATCTAGCTCTAATTAGCTAACAGCAACTTGTCAAATGAGAATGTTTCATTTGTGTCTAGAGTTTAATTTTTTTCTCCCAACTGATGATCTCTTTTCAAAAGGAGTCCATTCTGGATTTTGATAAAGCTTCACCAAGTGCCATTGGTTCATCCCAGCCACCTTCAGTTACTCCAGCAAGTAGTCCTGTAGGTAGGTAATACTGTAAGTGTAAACTATATGTAAAATTTTGCAAACACTAACAGGGTTTGCTTGGCTGTAGATCAGTAGGCCTAGTGAAGACAGCTTGTCTAATTTTAAAGAATACCAATGTTGGATTAAAAAAAAAGGGCAACTCAAGCCACTTACCTGCTTATATGTTGCTGGAGGTGATTTAAGTTGGAACATCTGGCTGGAAATGAAATGCTTGTATAATCTGACTGGCATGTGCATCTGAACCCAACTGCAGAATTGACATGTATCTGTGTAACAAACTCGTCTAGATGTGGTGTATAGAGATAGAAACTGTCAATGAGCTCAGGATAAAGAGCAGTTATCTAGCTAAAGTTAAATAACCGGAACTTTTTACAGTGAGCCATGTTAAGAAACTGTTGGGGTGGCTCTTGGGCTGTAAAACACAATTGCCCAGTTTATTAAATATTTAATTGTTTTTTAATCTGTAAAGTGAGTATCTGTATTGTGGTAGAAATATTTTTTCATTGAATACCTGTCCCCTATAAAAAAAACCTGAAGCTTTCAATTTGGTGTAATTTACTGATGCTAAGTATAAATATTTGCAGTACACACACTAAAAATAATGTTGTCTTCATACACCAAATGTCTTCAACAAGTAGAACTTCACACTTAAACTATATGTAATGTTTGAATTTAAAAGTCAATGTTTAATGCATTCTTTTTTCCAGCTTCAAAAGAACAGAAACTGCCAAGTCAGAGTGATTTTCTTCAACAGCCTCTCCAAGTAAGTCCACTGCCCTGAAGAGGCTGAGCTATAGTGAAGGAATGATACAGAGATTATTCTCTAGAACAGACTTAGTACTTTAATTGTTTTATTCTAGTTGTCAGTTTTTTAACATTTAATGTAACTTAGTAGCTTGCAAGTCTAAAATCACTCAAATGCTGACCAAGTTGGCTGCTGGTCTGCTTGTAAAGCAGGAACAAATGTTTGAACTTTCTTAAAGTAACAGTATATAGAAGACCTGCTGAAATAGTTTGAATACTCAACCCCTTGATTCAAGTCACAGCCATTAGTTGTGTGCAGGAGAACATGCTGCTTTACTAGATAGTGCATGTCTTAATCTTTGAGATTCTGACTTATGCCAAAGATAAGAGTGTCTCAAGCTTTGGCAGCCATGGTTAAGTGAACCTTAAATTCACTTCCTGTGCTTGCATGTTGTGCTACTTTGGCTTTTAAATAGGTTTCCTTGCCACTAACAAGTATTCTTAAGAAACTTAGACTAACCGGTCAAAGCGCTTCAGCTCCTGCCTCGTTCTGAGGTTTACTTGGAAATGTCCAGCGTGTGAGTTTCAGTGAAACCAAACATTTAAGATAATCTTTCAAAACCTTATCTCAGTTTTCTCCTCTTGCAAGGCTGCTGCTTCATCCATGACACTGCATGGTTCAAATACTTCCCTAGCATCTGCTGATCAGACTCTTTCTGGCTCTGAAACCGAAGACTTGGTGACGCCACAGGCACCACAGGTAATACACCCTGGAGTCCACTGGCATGCAGAGATCTGTGCAATAGCCAGCCCTAACAGAAAACTGTGGGGCCCCTCTTGAACAACTTGAACTACTTGAACAACATACAGAGACAGAACACGAGTAACAGCAGTATAGCCTATGTTCTGGAATGCTTACAGATGATTGGAAGTCTTCCTAATACTGTATGAATGCAAAGTGAACAGTCTGCCCCTTGAAATGGGGAGGGTGTGGGATGGAACATGCAGGCATGTGTGATGCATATTCTTGTGGGAACATATGAGCAGCATAAATGTTTGCTTTGGTTGTAAAATACTCCCTCTAATGACAACATAGAGGATACATAAATTGGGATGGATATTGCCATGAAATAGCAGACTTCTGTGTAAACTGAAGAATGAGATGAGTTCTTTCAAGCACTAACTGAAGAAATACTGGGAATCTGACTTCCTGATGGTCAGCCAAGACCTCAAACTTTGCTTTACCTATGTTTATGTGTAATTAAATCCTCAACAAGCATTCAAATATTGTTTAGAGCTGAAAATAGTGTTTCAGTTTATGCAGATCACTAAGATTTCTTGCTAAGTGTTGCTGTGTTCAGAAACACAGCTGGCTCTTTCCTTTTGGACTCTCTAATACAGTGTATGTAGATTATGATGGTGAAATGTTCATGATTTTTAAATGTTTTTTGCTGATGTACGTGCTATCAGTATACTGTGTGTGTAGCATTTACTCTATTCCTTAATATATAGTTGAATATAACAGTCCTGAAAAATGTATTATAGTCTTTCTGCCTCTTGAATCAGCAGTTTTGGCCTGGTTCTTAACACCTTCTCACTTCTACAGTGTCATGAGACTTCTTGTGCTGACAAGGATTAAATAATTTTGCTGTTTAATATACATCCAGAAGACTTGTGCTGTGCTATAACGTAGGACATCATTTAGTACAGTGTTCTGAGGTTTTCTGCAAACTTACTGTTTGGGATTAGAGTTGCTTGTGCCCAGTGTATCTCTAGTCCCTTAGGCATGAAGTGTGGTGTAGTTCTTTTCCAGTCCTGCTTCTTATGGAAAGCAGTAGATAAGCTTTGTTTTGGTCGCAGCACAACCACAGTGACAGTGCACTCTCCTGTTATGCAAGAGCAGTTCTGTGTGGTGTACCTGTGGTGGTATACATGGTGAGAATGGGACTGTGAGTCTTTAGCCCTAGGCTGTGAAGTATAAGCAACTCTTAAACTTAGCATAACAAGTGTAAGCCAACTACAGAATGTGCAGGTTTTGCAAAAGCAAGCCAAAGTTTGTCTCCAAATCCTTGTTTGACAGAGCTTACCAGAAGTTTAACATCAGACATGTCTTTCCATTTAATTCAGTGAGACAGGTGTTTGTCAGACTTTGTTGTAAATAACTGCTTGAAGCAATCTATGGTTCTTAAAATTACCTGACTTTGCAGGGCTAGTTGTGCAACTTGTTGTGTAAGAAGGGTAATCTAAGTCTGAATCTCTAAAGCTAATTACTTGAAGCTTTTGGTTAAGATGGCTATTTAGTACACTTACTTTGGACTTAATGTTTGTGGTCTTTCAAAATCCACTTGTTTCAACTTATGCACTGGTATTTCATATCTCTACCACAACTTTGTGTTTTCTGCAATACTACTTGTAATAGCAGGTGCATGTATTGCTCTTTCTAGGCATCAGCATCACTTTCTCAAGAGACTGAAAAATATACTTCCCAGCCACTGTATCAGACAAGTTCACGTATTTCTGAGCCACTGATCCCTAAAAAGATTGAAATTGCCCAGGTGAGCTATCACAAATACAGGTAAGGTAAATACATTGGCTGCTGAAATGGGTCTAGAGCCATACATTCCTTTTGACTTCCAATTCCTATAAGTGTTGGTTTTCTACATCAACACTTCATTTTGCCATCTGCACAGATGAGACTTAATACTGGTTAATGCTTTGTCTGGACAATTCAGCATTGTTTCTAATCTGAAACATGATTAAGTTGGGAGGGGGGAAAAAATGAACCCCCCTAAACTTCCTGAGTTCCTTTGGAAAAGAGAAGTCACTTTTAATATCAGCCCAGAGAATCATCTTCCAATGAATGGAACAGAAGGTGTTCTACATTTTCTTAGTAGTGGGGGAAAAATACCTCATGTTTCTTTATTGTGAAATTATTACAATGAACAGTATGTATAGTAGCTCATAGGCACATTTCACTTAATCAGCAGAGACTGCAATAGAAGTACTGTTTGCTGAGAATGCACAGCAAGATTTGAAATTGTAAGCAAAAGCTATTTGGTAGCTCTACTACGTCCAAATGTCATCCTGTAGAAACTGCTGACTTCTGTCAGTCTAGGCTTTAGAACAAATTAACTGCTTGTGTTACTGCCTGATAACTATCAAGTGACCTTTCATTACATTTGTTCTTCCCTCAGGCAACTATTCCTCTCCCAAGTGAGCCACAGTCACCATTGCCTACTTCAAGCGCCTCCATGACACCAGTAGCACCTGCGCAAAGCTTTCAGTCTCCTCCAGCAAGTAGCAGTTCTGTCACAATAACAGCAGCTCCTTTTCAGGCTATGCAGACTGTGAGTATGCAACTCGAGGCTGCAGAAGAATAATTGACAATAATGCTAATAACTTAGTCCTAACAGTGAGGAACTGGGTCCCATTGATATAGTACAGATCACTTCCATGTTTTAATGTTAAAAACTTAGATTAGAACTCTGCATCTCCAATGCCTTCAGAACTTAAACCAGGTCACCTAAGAGTAGCGATCCTGGCTTTGCTCTGTATAGTCCCAAAATCTAATACTGGGCTATCTTAGTAGCCTCAGTGAACTAAGAGGGAGAAGCCAGACCTGAAATCAACAGGTTTATAACTGTGCCCCAAGGTGAAGTTGACTGTACTTCAACTGTTCTTACGCATAAATATCAAACAATAAAGACTGTAGAGGAGAGAGGGAATAATAAAGCATATAGCTGTTAGGACTAAAAGCTTCCTGAAGCCTGAACCTGTCTTGCTGCTTTTTAAACTGCTTGCTTTAGTGGGGTAAAACTTAGTCCCCTGGAATAATAGAAAACATCTTTAATAGGATAGTGAACTACACCGGTCTTAACTTGTTAACAAAAGTAGTCAATGTAGATGTCTAGAATAGTCCACACAGATTATGAGCACTGTCTCTTGTGAATAGATACTGGTTTTAAGTCATACATCTCTAACATTACTAATATTGCTACTGTCTAGTTATCTGCTGTGCAAGCTTACAGATACTCAGAGGAAGGGTGTCCATTTAGTTGTTAATATTCCCTTCCCTGTACTTGGGCTTATCTACTCCTCTAACTTCTTCAGAACATGGTAGAAACCTTCATTTGATGTTCTTGCTCAAAGCAAGTTCTAGAAAGAGGTCATTGTGATACTCCAAAGGCATTCTCCATTTTAACAAATGTACCAGTGCAGTTCCACAAATTGGACAATCTGCATCTTGCAGTATTGAGGCATATGTAGTAGGATTTGGTGGAAGAAGATAGTTAATAGCCTCTCATAGTACAGGATTTAAAAACTAAAACATCTATGACATCCTGCTGTGGTCTGTAGTAAATTACTACCATGATTTTTCTCCTTGGTTTTCTGTATTTGTAGAAGAGGTTCAAGTAGAACCTTCCTCAGAGGTATAGAGTATTGATGTAAGGCAAGTGGTGGTAGGGAGGTGGTTCTTTTGAAGGCAGATCTATTTAAATTATGCTAAGTGGCTAGGTGGTGATTTTTTCATCAAAGTGCAGAAATAGCAGCATGCTATAATCAAGGAATCCAGAGTCTTTCTGGGGTCCCAGTCTATAAAAGAAGTAATCTGTCATGATATAAATATGGAATCTTGATCTCAGTCATTCTGATTATACCTGAACCTAGTGTCTGTGTTCAAAGTGCTTTTGATCAAAATGGTATCACTGAAAGTTCACTCGAATTAATACCACAGTGTTTTCAGAGATGTTAAACATTCAAAATCTGTCTTGGGATTTTTTGGGGTCAAACTGGCAAACACCTGTCACTGAATTGCTTGGATGTTAATTCCCCTTGTAGCAGTGGCAGTCTTTAACTTTGTGGTGCAGGGTTTTCTTTCCTATGTTGCTTAGATTCTCATTGATGCCAGGAAAGCACAGCCATTGGATTTCAGTAGATAGCCAGGAGTCAGATGGTTTCTTGCCAAATAGTGAGCGTGGTGACAGTCATAGAAGCCTCTGATTACATGTACTTAGAGATGTATTAACACCCTATTGCTGTCATTGTACTAATGAGAGCTTAAAGGCAGATCCTACCTGTAGCCCAAGTATTCTTTGTAGAATTCTACCTGTAACTCTCACTGGTAGGAAAAAGTAGACCACTTGCTATAAATAGTCCAGGATGTGGGTGTTGACAGCCAGCATCTTCAAGGTTCTTTCAGAAAGAGGATTGCTTTGGATCACTTTGATTGCTTCCTCTGGTAAATCATAACCAGAATCTGTGTTATTTTATAACAGTTCAAGCTTTATACTCAATATTTTCAGTATCATGAGGGGTTTCTGTGCTGGCTCCCTGTTACAGGAAACACTTGATTACTTGACTCTGGAAAAAGTGTTCATTTCCCATTGTAATTAGAGGCTTTTGCAAATGACAAGAACTGTCAAGCTGTGAAGCTGTTCCTTGCATCTAGCTGTAGTTAGTCCTGGCATCATTTGTCTTCAGGTAGCTTATAGTCTTGGAAAATAGTTAGATACACCTTTAGGCTCAGTATTGCTGACAGCTCTTTAGATGAAATTTAGATCCTTTTAGTCAAAATAGCCTTCTTGCCTATTTGATCTTGATACTACTTGTCACTTGACAACATCAGTTCTGGTAATTTTGGCTTATTTGCTATAAAACATGACACTGACTGGAGTTACTGAACTCTGGTTGATAGATTTAACTAAACAGTAATATTTGTGCACCATCCTACTGTCCAGGCTGTAATATTAAATTACAAGACTCTTACTTAATTTGCATGTTTACTTTGAGGGAACCTAAATGAAGAATAGGGAAGTTGAGGCTCAGTTTATCAAAGGGGTGAAGGCTGTCTAGTATGGCATTTATCTGAGCATATAGCAGAGTTGCACCAGGTTCCAAGATGGGTATAGAGACCCAAATTCTTTCCAGACATGAATATCTTGTCTCAGTATATGCTGTCCTAGCTTCAGGTCAAAAGCTGTAGGACAGGTAGTCAGTGAGTCAGTCCAACAGTTGACTTCCCATAGAAGTAAAATAGCTTACTGTATGGTAGCTGTTCTTTTGATCAAACATGGTAGCTATGATTGATCAAGCTATGTTTCTTGGGTAGTAGCTACCTAAATTAAGTTCTAGAAGCTTATACAATGTTCTTGATTCTTTCTAAGAAACAGTTAGTATTCTGGAAACTGAATTAGACATACGGATTTAAACCACAGCATAGCAGGGTAGTGGCATTCGGCAGAGACTTTAGCTGGTAGCATTAAACACTTGTCTTGAAATATATTGTAGGTATTTAAAGTGAATGCACCACTGCCTCCACGTAAAGACCAGGAAATTAAAGAGGATTCTTCATATTCAGCATATAACCAGAGTTTCTCTACAGCAAGTACACAGACTCCTCCTCAATGCCAGTTGCAATCTTCTCATGTTGCAGAACAAACTTCTCTTTCACAAGAATCTCTGTCTTCAGGTGAGTTCTGTACTTGTTTCTATTTCAAGTAGACTTTAAAGTTCTGCAGGTTATAGTAGTACTTTAACTCATTAACATATTCAGGTTCTTCTAACTCAGTGAAATTCTGAACCACTGTTGTGTAGCACCTGTTAGTATCAGTTATGTGAACTCCAACGTAGTTGATGGTATGGTATGTAAACTTAAACTGCTAGCAGGATGAAAGGCTGCTTCAGACTAGTTTCCATACTCCTTGTATGGACAGTGTCACATACAGACCCGATAAAGATAATTTCTTACCTACTGGGAAACTCAAGATACTTGTCAGAGTCACAGAAGCATTTGCTTGGAATTGAAGCAGTGATGAAATACTTCACTTGGAACCATTAATTTAATCTCTGGTAATAGACAGTAGTGTTGTCTGTAGTGCTTGCAGTTGCAAAATGCTAAATAAGAAAGTTGGGATAAGCTTTCAGTGCTGAGGTGAATTACCCGTAGAATTAAGTATTTTGTGCTTTTGAAACAAAACTAAAATGTGTCATCTAAGAGCTGTTTAGGATTTAGAATTTTCTTGTTTTAAGAATGAGCTGGTATCTTTCCTTTGAACTTACAGCTCACAATATAATTACTATAAAACACATAGCTGATCTTCACTGTATTAACACTTGCCAAAATCTTCATATGGATATTACAGCTTACTTTATTAGAGATAAGCATTCTAGATGGTGCTGACAAGTCATGTTTGCCACTCCTCCTTATCACTTTAGCTGTATCTTGTGATGTTGAAGTTCTAGTGTTCTGTAGCAGAGATCGATGTTGCTCTTAATTAGGCCTTAAATTTCACTTGTTTGTTACCTCGGAAGCCTTGTTTCCTAACCAGGAGGCCTTAGTTACAAGTTACTTTACTTCAGTGAGGTGTTGAGAATAGCTGAGCTGCAGGAACTGTTCATGCATAGGCTTGTAGCCTGAAGCAGGTACAAGCTGATGACAGCCTACTCTGCAGCAAAAGATAATCCTCCTTTTACTTCTGTTTACATAGCTCTGACTTCTTACCAAGGCCAACTTAGCTGGTTGAGTCGGTGTGCCTGACCTGAAGAATACTAAACTTCTGATAAGTGGGGTCTTGAGCTGCTTTATCCAACACAAAACTAACCTGCTTAGCATTCAGATACTGTATCAGGTGACTTTATATAGCTGACACTAAGAATTTGAAATGAGACCAGCCTCTAAATCTGCTTGAAGCAGATTCCAAGATGAAAAGAAGCTGACAGCTAGGAGTCTGGATTTATAAGGCTATATCTAATCAAGTGACTCAAGGTCACTTAAAACTTAGTGGTTTTCTGCCAGAGGACTCTTCATAGAAATTATAGTCAGTGAGACATGAAGATTAAGAGCTCCAAAGAACAATATAAGTACAGCAGTCAGGAAAGCATGTTTAGCCTGGATGCTCCTCATCACTGAGACTACAGGTGATCAGCCTTCTATACATTTTTTTTTTGATGGAACATCATAATTTTGAGTTATCTTGGGCAGCGGCTCTGCAGAGTCTTCAGAAAGGGGTTTAGACTCTCTCTCTGGATCAGTTTTAGGCTTTTTAGATTGATACGAAGCATAGTCCTGTGAAAACACATCCATGATTGCAAGGTCTATGTTTAAAGTTAACCACTCAGCCACCCTGTGAGCAAAAAGCATTCTTGAATACCTGTTGCTTGGGGTTGAGCTGCCTAATAACAAGTGGTAGGAATGTCTGAAGAGACTGAACCTAAATATTCAGCTTTCCACAGTTGTCTTATTGTTATGTAGATAAGATTCAGTTTGTCTCATCAGTGTTGCCATCTTTCAAAATGAGATGATTTAGATTATCACATAGACCACTGAGGACAGTGTTGTTTCTAAGTGAAAATTCTTAATTGAGTGTTACTTGATTTTATTCTAGATTAGTTATATTCTTGATGTTGCTAGCAAAGTTGCTCTGACCTATGCAACTGAATCTTGTTGAATGCATTGGAGGCTTACAATCAGCCTGGGCTGCCTATGGTGTACTTTAAAGAGCATTACACTCTACAGAAAAATGGGGAGGTTCCTCACTTATTTGGAGTAATGACTGGAAGCACAAGAACAGAATATTCAGAGCAACTTTATCAGTCTCTGAACTGCTTCCGTTACTTCTAGGTGGGATAACTTATTACAGTTATAAAAGTTTTGAATTCATCTGTACCTTCTGTTTTAAGCAGTGAATTATCAACCTGATGGAGCTGTTCCTGTTAGCAATGGTAGCCTTGCCTTTTATCCAGCACAGACTAATGTTATTCCCAGACCCCCTCAGCCTTACCTTAACAGTCGTGGGTCTGTCAGAGGATCTGCTAGAGGTGGAAGGTCACTGGCTAATTCATATCGTTCCCCTGGTGGGTACAAAGGTATGTCTGTATTTACTACCACCTTAAAAATCTAATGTAGTAATGCTAGAACATGATTTAACATACACGGTATTAAATTTAGGTTCTATATGTGAAACTTCTTAAAATAAGACTTTGAGCAATATGCAGAGAATGGGGTGTTCAGCTGTATATTTTAAGCAAGTTTATTCTGCCTTTTATTTGTAGTCCTTATACTTTGGGTGTCAGGTGAACTGGCAGAGCAATTTCATAGCCTTTTGAATTATGAAAGTAGAAACTTTCATTCAAAGGTTATTAAATTACTTAATTGTATAGACGTTTCTGTTTGCAATTTCATTTACCATTCTGAAATTTTTACCCCCTTTGTTCTTTCTCTTGGCATCTGTCTTGGTAACATTCTAGGCAGGTATTTTTTCTTCAGATGTCACTTGCAGTATTTGCCCAAAACAAGATATTTTTTGCTTAGCACTGCTGGCTTTAGTATTACCAGCCGAAACTAGGATGGGGGAGAGATTCCCAGTAGTGTAAAGCCCTTCTGGATTAATAACAAACTGAAGAGTTTTAAGAGTGTCTGCAAATCAGTTGCTATTCTGTGAAATGAAGTACTATAGAAAGTTTCAGCTGACTTTAAGCAGACACAAATGTAAGGTGGTTGGTAGCTGTGGCCTATTCCACTTTGAAGTGGAAGGGCACTTTGTGATAGTTGTTTCAGTTACTGGATTAAGACCACTCAATACCTTGTAGAAACACACACCAGACAAAGTTGTGTATAGTTCCAACTTAACAGCAGTTAAGGGTTTAGTAGTGTCTGGTACTAAATTGCTTGCAGCTCCTCTTTGGTAGTTAGTCTAACAGCTAAAGATGCTAAACATTGTAGTAGCACCTAAATATATAACAGTAATAGCTAAGTATCCGTAATAGCAAAAGTGTTTCTTAATTCTGTGTTAAATCCTGTCTCTGGATCTGGCAAGTTTTTCAGCTGTCCTGTGAAGTCCCATTAGTATCAAAAAGGCAATCGTTAAGGTCTGATGTTAATACTTTTAAACGTGTAACTTTGATACAACCACAGTAGGTAGTTCTGAGTAGCTAATGAAATGCATTCTTTATAGAAGTAGTGAGATTTTGCTCTGAATTCCTCCTGAACAAAGGAATAGATGTGTAATTGTGTAACTTAATACACATGATAATTACCAAAAGGGAGCTCTAGTTGTATTCAAAATGGTACAGTAAAGTAAACAATGAATGATATGGAATAATCAACTTTATTTGAACAGGTTTTGATGCTTACAGAGGCTCACCTTCAATAAGTAATGGTAACTATGGCCAGCTGCAGTTCCCTGGTAGAGATTATGCTGGAATGCCATATTCTCAGAGGGTGAGCATTGAATTTGTTTCTAGTAGCCTTTTGAGCATTGCACAGGACCTATGTCTTCTACTACTGTAGCTTTTCATTATCTTAACAGGTGAACTATTCCTTACAAACTAGAGGTTAGTTTTGTTTCCTAGACAAAACCTTTTTTGGAACAGTAGACAGCTGCTGAAATAAGAAGTCAGTTTAGACAGATAACATCTCTGCATGACAGCTTGATTTTAGTCTGAAGGAAATCTCTGAAATGCAAACAGATGGCAAATAGGATGTAGTATAATGTCTTATTTTACTATGGATTTTAAGGTTGGTATTCAGTGCCTCTGTAATATAAAACAAAGAACTCTTAGACTGAGAATGTGGTTAGGCAAAAAAACCCAACCAAAAGACAATGTTTAAGAAAGGAAAGGTTCATGGTGGGAGGAGAGTCTTCAGCTTTTAAATTAAATAAATTTTTCTGTGCAGACTCATGGGCTTCTAACAGGCCTGAGATTCAAGGTATTGCACAACAAACTGAACTGAGTGTATAGTTAAGAAGCTGACTTGCTAGAACTGGCATTGAAATAGCACCTTAATTTCATACAAGCTATTGTAAATTTTCCGTAAATAAGGCTGTTTACCTACATCTTAATTCTGAACTACATCACTGTCTATGCTAGAGCTTTAACTGTGCAAATGAAAAAAAAACTGTATTTGTTAGCCCCACTTGTCAGATTTGCTTATAGCTATCTTACTAATACTTCTGTTCTCTTTTAGGATGTTAATTACCAGCAGTGCTATAAACGAGGTGGGATAACTAGTGGTCCTCGAGCAAATTCAAGAGGTAAGGCTAGCATCAGGTTCCCAGAGGTGTATGTGTGTGCATGGGTACAGCAGATGCTGAACTGGAGTGTTATTGTGAATAGTGAGAAAAACAGTGTACTATCACTGATGAAACAGATCAAGTGGAAGCTTAAGTGCTGTTCCTAGACAGCATTGCATAGCAGCAGATTTAACTTCTATTCTCAATTTGGTGACTTCACATTCTGACACAGTGGCACCTTATTGAACTTTCTTCACAAATAAACTGACTAGGAAAACACACACAGGGTAGTTCTGATGTTGCATTTGGCTTCTTCCCATAATTGCAGGATTCTGGGTAAGCTATCAGATCCCAGAAACTTTGTAAGATAACTTTTTCTAAGAAAAATAGTTTGGGAATACAGCTTTATTCTGTACTTTAATGCTAGAGTACAAAACCTAAAAAAATACATAAGACTAGCTGTTTCAATCCAAGCATGAATAGCATGTATTTTGAAAAGTTCTTAAAAAAAAAAGATTTAATTCTACTGTATGTGCTGGAAAAGCTGGACTTTACAGTGCTATAGGTGAAAAGTGAGATGAATAGTAACTATAGGTCACTACCTTGAAGAGTAAAGGGAAGTTATGGCATATAGAAACTGTTTTAGGATAAAGCAAGTCACTTATCGATCTGAGGGAGGACTAATAGAATATATATCAGAGGAAGAGAATTAAAAGAAATATGATATTGTGGTGAGTTAACAGTTGACAGAAGTACTCATTAGCATTAAGATATAGCAACTTTTCTTAGTTTTATTGGCTATCTTAAGATGTTCTTTTCCAGTGAAAATAAGTGGTTTGCAACTTGAGGGTGACTGCTTTAAATTTCTCAGATCTATTAATGTTTTCATTCTAGACCCTTTTAACCTGGATATTTAAAAATATAAACAGCTTTGTTTTGGGGAGTGGGGTGTGGAAAGCTTAAAAGCAATTCTAGTTCTTCAGACATAAAATATTCTAGCATCATAAATTGATATGACTTACTAAGGATGCAACTCCAGAACAAGAGTATTGAAGTAACTTGAAGTGGAATTTCCAGTCTTGAAGGGGACTAAATGACTGCTTGGGTCTTGGTAATTTTGCCTTTTTTTCTCAGAAATTACATTTTCCCACTCAGAAGCTAGCATATGCTTTTTTATGGTAATATATGTATGTGGCAAATACTAAAGCTAAAACTATTGCGAGCTACTGCTCTCTCAATTAAAAGTATGAGAAGTCATTGTTCATAGTTAAATTATGGTTCATCTTGCTGAATGCAAGTGTGGTGAATGTAAACCAGCTTCCAAGTTCTGTTCTGGGGTCCTGTGACAACCTGCTGTAGCTGAAAGACAAATCTGTTGCAAAGCCCATACACCTACTGCTTAAGATTTTGTCCACAGGTTTAAGGGTGTCTTTCTGTTATACTACTAATTTATCATTGCTAATGATATTTAACAGCAGGGTGGAGTGATTCCTCTCAGGTGAGCAGTCCAGAACGAGACAATGAAACCTTTAACAGTGGGGACTCTGGACAGGGAGACTCCCGTAGCATCACTCCTGTTGATATGCCAGTGACGAGCCAAGCTGCCACCATACTACCAGTGCATGTCTACCCTCTCCCACAGCAGATGAGAGTTGCCTTCTCTGCTGCTAGAACATCTAACTTGGCCCCTGGAACTCTAGACCAGCCAATTGTGTTTGACCTGTTGCTGAACAACCTTGGAGAAACTTTCGATATCCAGCTTGGTAGGTTCAACTGTCCGGTGAATGGTACATATGTCTTCATCTTCCACATGCTGAAACTGGCTGTAAATGTTCCCCTGTATGTGAATCTCATGAAGAATGAAGAGGTCCTAGTGTCAGCATATGCAAATGATGGGGCTCCTGATCATGAAACAGCTAGTAATCACGCAGTCCTGCAGCTGTTCCAGGGAGACCAGATCTGGTTGCGTCTGCATCGAGGAGCCATCTATGGAAGTAGCTGGAAATACTCCACCTTTTCGGGATACCTCCTTTATCAGGACTAAAATCCAGTGCGATGTTTACAAAAGAGCTGCTCCAAACACCTTGGTGGAGGGGGGTGGGACTAGCTTTGCACTTATTAATGACTTTATGGAAGATACATGGTTCCATTATTGGGGGAAATGATGGTCCTGTTGTGCAAGGTGAAATCATGGAGTTGGGGTACTGAATCAGCACTAATTTGGCACTTTATCAGTTGTGATGTAGCCTTGCTAGTAAAGCTGTGAATGTATATTGTTTGCACTTACCCTAAACTGTATTAATGTCCAGCTTACTACACTATTGATTGCCTCAAGTATGGGCTATTCACAATGCCTTGTTGTGCCTCAATAAAACAAGTTAATATGCATTTTAGTATTAATCTTGCCAGTGGTCTTTATTTAAAAATTATATATTAAACTGCTTATCCCTGATGTGGGGTGTATGTGCATGCTATTACATAGAACGGGTCTTCAAGTTTCAGTAATTCAGGGTAAACTGTACAACTTAAATGGGATGACTTATTTGTTTAGTTCTTGCTTGATGCCATTGTCAAGAGTGTTCCCTTGATCAAAATGAATTCAAGATTTAGTTACGTACTTGCTTCCTTTTTCACTGAAAGGTCAAGAAATTAGAAGTGAAATGCTACATACTTCATTAGGACTACTTATTTTAAATGCATATCCTTGCAAAAAATCTAGCTTTGTCACATCACCTGTCCTTCAGCAGTGATGTAGTTGAAATTCTTAAACCTCAAAACAGTCACTGAAGGGCTGGCTCACTTTGTTGTTCAACTGCAATGTATTTTGAAGTTAAAATTGACCCTTGTGAAGCACTAAATATGTATGGCTTCACTCTCCCTTGAGACTTGAATCGGCTTGTAACATAAGTTATTTCTCTCTTTGAGATCTGCTGAGGAACTTGGTATTTGTTGTTGAAGCCTGCTGCTTGCATTTTTAAATCAAACCTGCATACAAATGCTAGGAAGCATTTATGAAATTCCTTTCTTGCAGCTAAAGGGCTGTGTGACCAGCAGTCTCTTGTGGCCTGAGAACTGAAGAGCTGTGACATATGTCCTTGACTAGGCTGCAGTGAGTCAAACACTATAAAGCATTTCAGTGTTCAAAACGAAGTATGAACTGAGATGACTGCAGGTCACCGGCTCTTTCTACTTTTAAAAGCTTCAGTAGTTTGAGCAGTGGGAAGTATTTTATCTGAGTGCACTGAGGAAGCTAGTGGAACAGCCTGACTGGTATGGCAAAGGATGAACTAGAACTATGTGAAGTAAAAGCAAGTTCAGCTGTCTGCTTGTTTAAGTGACAGTAATAACCTAAATGGAATGTCCTTCAGACCTGATATAAAGCTGCTGTTTCTTGGTAACTGGTTTCACAACTTCCAAGTTTAAACAGTCCTCCCCTGCTACCATGCAGGTGCCAGAACAAGTTGTCTGACAAGACTAACTGCCATAAGAAATCTTGAGTTTATCCCAGGCTTAGATTTCTTTATGTAGATTTTTAGAGGGTGATTGTACTTCAACTCTTGGTTTAATTCCTTTGGCAAGTTGTGAGACGAGAAGTTTAGGTAGGATAAAGCTTCAGGGAACCTAGTTTTTACCACTACAGGCAAAAATGTCAAGCCTTAGCCATTGAATACTAAGCCTGTATTTTGTGTTTCCAAACATGCTAATTCTGACTTTAGCCAATAAAGAGGGTTATTTCTAGAACACTCTTAATAGAGGATAAGTGGTGGGAGTTTAACTACACTACTTAGACTGTTTAACTCTCCATTTCTGTTCATACAGGACTAAGGTAGATAGGCCTGAGTGCTAGGATAACTTTCAGCTTGCAGTAGCTTTGCAGCTGTGGACAGACTTCCTTGTTTTTCTAACAGACCTGCAAGTCTGGATTTTTTTTTTTAAGACCTGTAGAGCATTGACCCAGTCACCCCTCTTCCAGGCTGTCTAGACTAGTAAATAAATGAGCCTTGTTGTGTATATAGCAGGGTATCCCTTGCACTTCAGATTGTCTTAGCACAGGCTTCTTCATTCAGCATGCAGCTTATCCTACTTGGTTTTATGATATGTAATTGTATGATGGATTTTGTCTATTTTAAGAAAAAGTTACCAGTACTTGTAAGCTTTGCTAATAAGTTTGGCCTTTAGCAACCTCAGATGTGATTACTGTGAATGCATGAAGCATGTTGCTTTCTAATGCTCCAGTTTAATCGACTTTGGACAACTGCTTGGTGGACTTGTGTTATCATTTATTTGAAACTAATTTTATTTCTTACTGGCAGATCTAGCAAAGCTTTTATGTATTGCTAGCTTGTGTGTATTTGAGGCAAACATCTCAATTTCAGAGCTGCATGTCCATTTGTATAAGATAGATTTTTAGATTCCTAACTAAAGGAAGCATACTTTTTTCCTCAATATTTGTTATTAAAAAAGAATACAACTTGGGCAATTCTCTTCCCATAAGGTAACTGAAAATATGATCAATTTTATCCTACGGGTTTCTCACACAGTACCTTCTTAGCCAGACTGTTTTTCACTGTGTTTCTAGTCAGAGCCATGAGCACAGCTCTACCTAACCTCCGTTACAAAAAGGAATGTAAATACAATTGAACAGGTACTGTCACAGAAAAGTTTTCAGACTAGATGCAACTCAAAAGGCTGGTACTGAATCTTAAATGCTAAAGCTGTGTTTAAAAAAACACTGCAAGAGGCCAAGCAAAGCACCTTTTTTCCACACCAATAGCTGGCCAAAATCTACTGGTAGAAAATTGCTGTTCTAATCTTCAAAATACCTAAACCCATGACTTCCTACGATTCCCCATAATGATAAACACTGGACTATTGATACCTCAATCTTCATTCTTTGTGCTTCTAGATTTATACTTGGTTTTGAAAGCTTCTCAAAGTGTTTCAGGGTATTTCAGTGCATTACTTACCACCTGACACAGTTTTAGTCTACCTCAGTATGTCCAGACTAAAGACCTTGATCCATATTCTACTTCTGGACAAAGCATTTAACAGGTGAGTTTCACAACTTGAAAAATATTTAAAGTAACGCTGGTATAGACTTCATGGAAATACTGTCTGCCAGTGCTTTTTTTTCCTTAGTAGTTGTTAAATGAAGTTGTTTCAATTGTTGCCCTAGGTAATATGCCTTAACTACATGAGAATCAGAATCAGGTCTAATTAAAGCATACAACACTGCATCACAGTTCTGCCAACTTCCTATTACTGTCTTTGCTATTCCAATTTGATGCCACTTAAATTCTCTTCAGTTTAGTCATCTTGTGCAGCCTGCTGAAGATAAAGGTGAGGAACTAATACTAGGTTTTGATTTGGAGTGAGTGAATTTCAATGTTTCCTTCTCTTGAGTTCAGTGAAATACTAGAACCACCCTGAAATGTGAGGACGTACTGGTTTTGGCTATGATAGAGTTAATTTTCATGAGGGTAGCTGCTATGGTGCTATGTTTTGGATTTGTGACCAAAACACTGCTGATAAGGTAGGGATGCTGCAGTTATTACTGAGCGGTGCTTACACAGTGCCAAGGCCACCTATTTCTCATGCTGCCCCACCAGCGTGTAGGCTGAGGGTGCACAAGAAGTGGGGAGGGGACACAGCTGGGACACCTGACCTCATCAGATCAAAGGGTTACCCCATACCATATGATGTCATCCTCAGCAATAAAAGCTGAGGGCAGGAAGAAGAAGGGGGGGACGTTCGGAGTTGCAGCGTCCGTCTTCCCAAGTAACTGTTCTGTGTGATGGAGCCCTGCTTTCCTGGAAACAGCTTAACATCCGCCTACTGATGGGAAGTAATGCAAGAATTCCTTATTTTGCTTTGCTTGCATGTGTGGCTTTTGCTTTACCTATTGAAGTGTCTTTACCTCAACCCACAAGTCTTCCTACTTTCACCTTTCCAATCCTATCCCCTGCCCCGCTGGGTGGAGAGCACGGGTGGCTGTGTGGACCTGAGCTGCCTACTGGGCTTCAACCACGACACACGCTTTTTTAGCTTCCAAAGTGCTACGACTTGTGGCTTTCTTGTGTTTTTCCAGGGTATGGAAGTGAGAGGAGACTATGAACGATCTAACCAGAACTGTCGTGGCTAACTTTCTGCAGCTGAGGAAACCTCCATCCTGCAGGCTACAGTGGTGCTGCAGAGGACGTCGCTGTTTTGTTGGTGCTGGTTCTGTTCACGTACCTTTTCCTTCCTGACAGCTATAAATTATCTACAGCTGCTCCAACAAAACAGTCAGTGGGGCAGACGGCTTCAGAATTCTAACTCTGATCAAAGCCTTGTGCCTGCAGGCCTGGCATATGTTTATCTGCCGCAGGCCACCCTTGCTAGCTCTTTATCGAATCTATACGTGTCTTTTGAGAAAACTGAGAGTCTTGGGGAGGATATGAAAAGTCTGCTGTCTGTATTAGAATAATTGGAGAGGGACTGTACCACAACCAGATAAAAATGAATTAACTCTACTTATGCACTTGTGCACAAGTTTCTGGTCAACTTAATTTGATGTCTTGCTTCTCAGCTATAAAGTATTCTACTAAGAGTGAAAAAGCTTATAAATGTGTATCTGCTGACTGAACATTTTCAGGTGGTGTTGTACTTGAAAAAAAAATACTGTAAAGTACTAATTTGGCTGGAGAGGACTAGTTCATACAGCTTTTAGACTGTTTAAGTCTAAGGTGAGTAAGGGCTGTGGTTGATACAGAGTGAGGGATTTATGCTAAGTACAGATCTAATCGCTTTGTCATTAGTTTACTACAATGAAGTAAATCCTATATTAAAAACAGTGGGTTATTTTAGCTTGTAGCACATCACACAAAGGATCAGCATCACCTTTCTCATACTTTTTCATGAGTATCTCTTCTTATCTACAATTTACAACCAGATGCTATCCTAAGGGAGCTTGGTTGGCCTGATAACGTAGCAGTTGTTCTACACCAGCAGAAAGTATGTTACACATAGCGCTCAGTGAAAACACTACCTGCATTTCCAAACAACCAAAAGTCAAGAGACTAATTCTAAGTAATCTGGAACAGGTAAGGCTTTTCCAGTTCTCCTCCACCTCCAAAAGATCTTGAACTTAAATCAAGTTATCTTGATAGTGTCTCTGCTACGAACTTGGTCTGAGTTTCATTGAGGTCAAACTTACGTTGCTTTAAAAATCATTGGTTTCAGCAACTGTGTTTCAAAATATGATTGCTCATTCTAAATACTTCATAAAAGCATTCTTATAGTGCACCTGGAGAGTTTGGGAGCTTTAAAAAAATTACCTTTGCTCTCCCTTATCTCCCACCTCATTTTTATTCTCATCCTTTTTTTCTATACTTGCATGCTGGTGCAACTTGGAT